TGGGATATTCAGTATTTTTCTCCAATATTATAACTCAAAGGTGTTGATTCTTCTTTTGCCAACTTTATTCATTGTCCTGAATCAGGTTCCTCCTAGTCTGGGATTCTCATTCTTCTTACTAGTTTCAAAAAAAAAAATTTAAAGAAAAAGAAAAAATATTTTCCACAGTTTGCTATGATTCACACAGTGAAATACCTTGCATGGTTGATTAAGCACAAGTAGACATCTTTCTGGTACTTTTTGTTTTCAGCCAAGATCCATCTAACATCAGCAATGATATCCCTGATGCCACAATCTCCTCTAAATACAGGCTGAATCTGGCAGTTTTCTGTCAATGTACTAGCCATTTTTAAATAATCTTCAATTATAGTTTACTTGTATATGCTATTAACATTCTACTGAATTGCTTTTTTTGGGAATGGGAACATATATCTCTTCCAATCAGTTGGCCAGGTCGCTGTCTTCCAAATTTCTTGGCATAGCCTGGCAGACACAGCTATATCTGCACCTATTTGTTGAAATACGTCAATTTCTATCCCATCAGTTCCTGGGTCTTTGTTTTTTGCCAATTCCTTCAGAGCAGCTTGAATTTCTTCCTTTCTTACTATTGGTTCTTGATCACATGCTATTTTCTGCTAGGTCTGTGTTGGCCATATCTTTTTGGAGCAGTGGCTTTATGTACTCCTTCCATCTTCTTTTGATGCTTCTTGGATCATTCAAGATTTTGCCTGTAACATCTTTATGTATTGCAACTCCAGGCTTGAATCTGTTCCTCAGTTCCTTCAGCTTGAGAAATGCTGAGTTCTTCCCTTTTGATTTTCTGACTCGAGCTCTTTGGACATTTTCTTTCAATACTTTACTTTGTCTTCTGGAGCTCCCCTTTGAAATCTTCTGCTCAGCTCTATAACTTCTTCATTTTCTCTCTTTATTTTGGCTTCTCAACGTTCTAATGTGATATTCAGAGTTCTGACACTCACTTAGGCCTTTTCTTCCTCCTCTGTCTCTGTAACGACCTTTTGCTTTCTTCTTGGCTGATATCCTTGAAATCATCCCACAATTCATCTGGTTCATTAGTGTTCACTGCCTCAAACCTGTTCTTGAGATAGTTTTTCAATTCAGATGGGATAGATTCAAATCATATTTTGGTTCTAGTGGGTTTGCCTTCATTTTCTTTCATTTCAGTTTGAACTTGCATGTGAGTAGTTGGTGATCTGTTCCACAGCCAGGACCTAGCTGGCATGGTGGTCACAGCTGATATTGAGCTTTTCCAAGGATTTTTTCCATAGATGTAATAAATCCAATTCCCATGTAGTCTATCCACTATCATCTAAATATACACACCAACAGTTAAAGCCAAAAAGGAGAAAACAGAAGATTTTTACTAACTTTTGCAGTCTGAAATAAACCCCACATGCAACCAAAATACAATAATAATAATTGGTAACAAGAATACAAAACTTGGGAACATGGAGGAAAGACCAGTAGTCAGAAAATACAGTCTTGGTGACAGAAATGAGATAGAATTATGGAATTTTGTGCAGTCAGTGATTTATTCATTGTAGATACCTTTTATAAAAAAAACCCTCACATAGCAACAACCAACTATACACATGGACCTAACCCAAGAGGCATAGATAGTAGCTGGTAACACTAATATCTGCAGTCCCAGAGGACTCCCTGTTGCCCTGCAAGTATCCCTAAAGTAGAGTTCTGCCTTGCAGGCTAAAAGTGGCTTAACATGTGCCATCCTCAGAGACTCAGAGCAGAGAATAGGCAATTTTCCAGGATTCCGTACCCAGGGCAGATGCCAGACACAGACTGTCATCACCCTAACTACAGTCTACCTCAAGCACAGTTCTACTTTAGTGCTTTCTCCAGCTTGACAATGTCCCAAAGCTAAAACTCTAATCGTCTCTCTGATGCAGGGTGGATAATTCGTACCTCTCATTTTGGTTCTCTGATGGTTTTAAGCAGCATTAAGAACATTTTTTAGCTAAAATGTAAATATATCTAGTAAATTAAAATAAATCCTTTTTAAACATAAATTAAAAAAGAGTATTTTAAAAAATATATTAAATTTGACTTTTTCAGTTGTCATCTTGAATTACCTAGCTCATCATTATAACCTGAAATTATGTTTATTTTTCATTTTAACACAAAAAATTTAGTTCAAGAAAAAATGTGGATTAACATCACAGAAGAGAAAGTCATAGTTCTCTTATTTTTTATAACTATACTTCATAAGACCTTAGAGTAAATTAACATTTTATAAATATTATATAAGTAAGTGAATTAGTTAGCTTGTTATAAATATATGGAAAGTTACTTCCTTTGAGAATTCCAGCTTTAGTTGCCTTAACCCTTACATTTGCAACATAAAACTGGGCAGAAAGTATTCTAAGTATTAACATTCCATGAAAAGATTAGTGTTGCTAGATAGAGGGGGAAAAGTAAACAATGGCCTTGATAAAATTATTTATTTATTTATTAAAATTTTTACTTTATTATTTGTTGTGTGTGTACCGCCAAATCAGATCTGATAAATCAGATACAGGAGGAGATTGTCCCTCCTTCTCCAGCAGAGCACCTGGTGGTTTTGAACTGCGTACCTCTGGGATTGCAGTGCAACTTCTTGCCACTAGGCCACCAGAGCTCCCTATAAAATTATTTATTTTATTATTAAATAGAATTAAATATATATTTTTTAAAAGACCATACCATCTACAGGATGTTCCTTCTGCACCATTGTTGAGCAGGCTGATGTAATAGCCTCTTCCTTTTGCTGATTTATTTTTAAATCACCATTTATGGAGGTGCTGGGCTCAGAGAATTTCCACTCATTGTAGCTCATCTCCTTTAGAATAAGATAATACAGCTTTTGATAATGTCTTGGTTTCCTTTATCTTTTCATCCTCTCTCTTTTTTCACTTTTAATATTAACTAATTTTATTTAATATTTCTTTTTAAATAAACATAAATTAATATATGTCCAAATTAGAAAATAATTTAAAATAACAGGTATTAACAATAAGGGGTTGCTTAGAATTTACCATTAGTTAGTTAATGGCAATCAATGTTATAAAAGAAAATGTCTTATGAATGATTGTATGAAAAACCAATATGATATATAAACCTCCACTCACATAAAAAATAGATAATTAAAAAGGACAGATGCTAATAACAATAGGAGAAGTTTAGGTGCTACTTCAAGACTCAACTCAAACTCATTGCTGTGGGGTCAGAATCGACACAGCTGACTTTCCTGCAGGCTTTCAGAGGCTGTAAATCACACAAGAGGAGATTGTTCATTTTTTTCCCCAAAGAGCTGCTGGCAGATGTGGACCACTAGACAAAGGCCACCTTTGGATTAGCACAACTCTCTAGCCACCTAACATTTCCCAGGACAGTATTATTACATACAGCTCATAGCAGCCCCTCCAGTGGGTTTTCAGAGGCTGTAAATAGCCCCAGAAGAGATTGCCCATGTAGCTACCGTGGAGCAGCTGGTGGCTTCAAACCTCGAGCCTTTTGGTTGGCAGTGCAATTCTTTACCTCTTAGCCAGCAGAGCTCCAGCCCAGAGTACGTGTCCAATAAATGTATTCCTTTATTTCTTCCATTTAAAGTTTTAGTGGTTAGAGCAGTGGTGCTAAAGTAATCAGCATAAAGTGGAGAACAGGGCATTCTGGTGGCTTAGTGGGTAAGGGGCTGCTAATCCAAACTCACATCGTTGGAACGTACCAGCTGCTCCTCCAGTGCAATTTACTGCCTCTGAAGGCCTGTCTAAGGTCAGCTGTGAGTGTATTCTGATTCAACTGCACATAACAACAACATCTTAATGTACTGGATTAAATTAAAGGGAAATAGTTCAAGGTTTGTAGAAATATGTGCACCATAAATAGCCATAACTATTATTTACCTTGTATGTCTGTTTCTGCTTCTACTTTGAGAAAAATACATTTGGAGATGTTGCAAACCATAATTTAACTCTTTGAGTCTCTAAGGTTTTACCTGTAGTACATTTCCATGGAAGATGCTATGACTAAGGTACTCTATCTTGTTCTTCCCTTGGATGACTGCTCTTTTGCCATGTTTTCTTCTTGAATATTTCTCAATCTGGTATTGCTTTTCTTTTAATTCTCCTGTCTGAAGAAATCTTCTCTGTTCTTGATACTTGTCAGTTTCAGTGGAAATCTCAACAGATGGCATCCGGTCCTAAGTAGAAAGATTAGGTACAATCTTACAAGATGAAAGTGTAACAACCTCGACACTTAAGAGATCTGTGAACTAGCATTAGACACTATTCCTCTCTCCCAGAGAGCGGAGAGGTGTCACTTCTCTCTACTCCCTGAAATATAGTCCAGGGTTTTGCTCCACCAAGAGCCTCATGGCATTACAAATGTTAATTAAGTTCATAGAACATCCTATTCTGACAAGAATTTCTTTTCACTCCAATTTTAATACGTCTCCCTTTCAATTTACTCAGTAGAACTGGAGGAGATATGCTACCTGGGGAGGAAAGGAAGCCATTTCCTCTTCAGGTATGGTCTCCAAGACGTCCTTGATGTCATCCTCTTCAGAATGACTTTCTGAATCCAGGAAGTTCTCTGGGGGCATGTAGTGAGAATTCCAATCCAGTTTCACCTGAATAGATCCATTGGGATTCCCCCAGGGGTCAGTGAGGTTAAAATCACCTGAGAGATAGACAAACATTAGTTAGATCTGATCATATCAAATTGACAAACCAGCATTTATCACAGTATGCTATTTCTACTCCAGGTTTTGAACTTCATCATATTTGGTTAGTAATTGTTGGTTTTGGGTGCTATCAAATTGATTCCAGCACCTGGTAATCTCCTCATGTGACATAGTAGAATTGCCCCATTAGGTTTTTTAGGCTGTAATCTTTAAAAAACAAGAGCTCTGGTGGTGTGATGGGTTAGGTGAGAGGCAGTTTTCTCCCACAAAATTTACAATCTCAGGACCTGATAGAGGATTTCAACTTGACTCCGTGACAGTGGGTTTGATTTTTTAAATTTGGAATCTTTATGGAAATAGGACACCAGGTCTTTCTGCTGTGTAGCTGTTGGTTAAGTTTCAATCATCAATCTTTTAGTTGGCATCCAGCCACTTAATCTTTGCACCACCTGAGCTCCTTAGAAATTTATTAACATTAAATCAATCATTATGGTAATATACTCAAAAGTAAACAAACTAACAGTATAGTTAGAACTTTTCCAGAGAAAGATTCAGGGTTCACGGAGAGCAAGCCAAAATACGTATTGAAATATACACCTTGCTTGTTATCAATCTCCTCACCAATAAACAGTATTGCTTTATTATTACTATTATAAAATTCTCATTATGCCTCAGCCAGACCAAGAAAACTATCATCTACACTCAAGTTAGTCCCTACTTCTAAATTTAAAAAGCCAAGAAAACTTGGGCAAATGCTAAATTGCCAAATGCAAGACTTCTAAATTGTAACAGATGGTTCACACTGTCTCTTTTTTGCAAAGGATAAATTGTGGGCATAAGCATTACGTCCCCTATGCACTTGTTTTTTTAAAAGTTATGTTATAGGGAAAAGAGAGGTCTCACACAAATCTTAACTATTCAGAAGCTTGTTAAATATTGTTGATATTGGCTGTACCCATGCATACTTCCAATAAAAGCATAATGGATAGCCTGCCTCATTCTTCTAGGGCTGTAGCCAGAGGATTGACCCCTTCTAGGTACACCTGAAAATTTTAGGTGTGAAAGTTAGGCAAATAGCATCCAACAAGTGTGCCTTTTCCATTCTTTGGTATGGAAGTTCTTCTAAGAGTAAACTTAGTAAGTTGGAGTGTTAAGGTCACAGCTTGTAATCAGATATGTCCAATGTGATGTACCAAAAACCCCAATAGATTGTTAAGAAATATGCTGAAAACAACTAGAGTTTTAAAAGTTTCCTCATAGAATTTTGTTGTTGTGTATAAAGCCAAGTCAGGACTGACTCACAGCTGACCCTCCAGTGGGTTTTCAGAGGTGGTAAATTACACGAGAGGAAACTGTCCATCTTTCTTGAACAGAGCAGCTGGTGGATTTGAATCACAAGCCTTTGAGTTGGCAGAGCGAATTCTTACCACTACGTCATCAGAATTCAGAGACACAGGGTGTGATATTCAGCTAGGTGGTTCTATTAACTTAAGAAACATGTTTTTATTACTGAAAAGCAACAGAAGCCACAGTTTGGGTTTATTTTAAATTTTTTATTTTATTATTTTTTTGTGTGTACCGTCAAATCGGATCTGACCGATACAAGAGAGATTGCCCTTCCTTTTCCACTAGAGCATCTGGTGGATTCGAACTGCGTACCTCTGGGATTGCAGTGCAGCTTCTTGCCACTAGGCTACCAGAGCTCCCTCACTGTTTTCATATGAGTAGTGAGGCTCAAGATTTTTGCTTGCTTGCTCTTGATGTTGTTGTTGTTGTTAGGTGCTGTCAAGTCAGCAACTCATAGCAAACCATGAACAGCAGATAGAAACCTGCCCTATCCTGTGCCCTTCTCAGAGTCTCTGCCATGCCCAAGCCCATTGTGTGATCACTGTATCACTATATCTTGTTGACAGTCTTCCTCTCTTTTTCTGACCCTTTACTTATCCAAGCAATCTATCTATTAAAGCATAATGGAGAATGGATAGTATTCTAAACATCATTTCAGCAGGCTTGAAGATTGGTAGTTCCAAGCAAGTAATAACAGAAAGGTAGGTTTAAGACAGAGAAGCAACACTGAGCAAAAGCATAGGGATTAATAATTATGAACTCCCACCTTTAATGCATTTGTTTTGTGCAAGAGGAAGCAGGGGCACTTGAACATGGCCAAGGTAGGAACCAGGCTCTGAATCTTCATCATCAAAAACATATACAAGTAGAGTTTGCCGCCTTAGGTACTGATCCAGATCAGAAGTCACAAGCACTGGGAATCGAGCTTGGTCTCCAAAGTAGGGATTGTTACTAGCTGGAGCGATGGCGGTGTCATGGTCAGCAAAGGTGAAGAAGCGATACATGACGTATGGACTAGGCTGCTTCCCAAGCTGCCGACTCTGGAGGCCACGGCACCTGATGATCTCTACCCACAGCTCATTCTGGCGCTTCCAAGTCTCTGATCTGGACTGGAAAAATGTTGGTCTTGGATTGAGGAAAAAGGACACTGAGACAGAGGTTGAAGTTCAGCACAATAGGTGAGGAGGAGGCACACCTAGAGATCTGCTGTATACTAACTCGGCCACAGTGAGACGTGATGACCTTCACTTGCCTGGAAACTGCCTCTTGCAGATAGTTGCCTGAGGGAGGTACTAGTACTAATGTCTTAGAGAATGGAACAGAGCCATTTGCCCCACTTCCTAGCCTGACTTTCACAGTAAAAAGAGAAAGCTAGCTCCAAGGGCATGGTTTCATTTCAAACTCAAGTTTGACCAAGTAAAAAGTCTGGACTAGTTGTGGCATGACAGATTTTTGTTTCATTCTCATTCAACAAATACTTATGAGAGTGAAGGACTGAACTGCTTTCATGAGCTGCATGGCTGACGCTCCACTGAGATGAATGGGTACATCTTTTTTTCTCACCTCTTCAGTCTTCTGGGCTCCAAGCACATTAGCTGACAGGTAGGCCTGGGCTTTCTTTTGCTTACTGCAAGCCTGTAGGCTGGATTTAATGGGGAAACGAAGCCTCATCCAGTACTCTAGCACTCCAAAGTTCTCTCCACCTGCTCCTGGGTAGCAGAAGGGATGAAAGGCATGGGGGAGATACATAATGTGGCAAAGTTCAACAATAAAAGCAGAGGTTCACCAACAGCCTTTGATAAATTCTGCCTTAGTCCTGGGAAATGCTGGAGGCTGACAGCACTTACCAATAAGTGTGGCAGAGCCATGGACTCTCTCCACAGTGTCCAGCACCCTGTCAAAGCAAATCCATCCAGTTGCAAGGGTGCGGTGCTCACTGGCCACAGCTTGGTGAAGGTCAATCCAGGCTGAAGCTCCTTGAAGGTAGTGCAAGAAAAGGGAGTCTGTCTCCACCACATACTGGGAGGTAAAGTCATAGATGGGTTTTGGTCCCACAACTAGTGGGGTACAGTGAGTTTCAAAGTCATAGAAGGAATAGGTACAAAAAGTGGTAGGCCGGGCATCTCCAGCCTGAGCCAGAGCAGCTGATGTCAGGAAGGCCTGATGGAGGTGCAGTTCAAAAAGATTTTCACTTTGATGCAGTACAGAGATGTCCATGTTATCCTCATCTCTTTTGGGTGGTAGTGTTTCCAGACATAATGGCAGCTGTCGAGTGCCATAAGCCACGTCTTTGAGCTGTTCTGGAGGGGAAAGAAAACTGCCTATCCATTAAAAGGCAGAGTGCTCTTCTCTAGAATAATGGAGAATGAATAGAAAGATAATAAAAAAAGCTTGGTGCAAGTCTAAGTTGTTAACATTTTTAAAAACCATAAGACTTAAAAGGAAAAGCAACAAACGACAATAAGATGTGGATTCCAAAAGCCAGGCTGAGAACCAACTGAAGATCAGTGTTAGAGAGAAGAGACAAAATAAGTAATTGGTAAGTAAAGGCTAAGCTCAGGGAAACAATGGAACACGTTTTCATTGTATAGATGACATTGTGTTTACAGAAAGTTCTCATTGATTACTTAGTAATTCTCTTAGAGAAGCACAGAAACAAACAAGAAAACAAATAAAATTAGTATTTCAGTATATAGAATAAATTTTAGATAACGGCTAATCAAAGCCACAAAAGCAAGTTATAACTGTAGGGTCTCATGTACTGGTTCAACAAGAGATATTTTTCTTCTCCAGCCAGGTCAGTCTTAAAGTGGGGGGAAATCCACCTTAAGCCAAAGATTTTTGGAGTTAAAAGAAGACTTATGAGAAAGAAGTTAAACATATTGGCATTGGGATTAAAAAAAGTATATACAGACTATTTATCAAATCAGAGCATTACCTCTCACACCTAGCCAATCCAAAATTTTGATGTATAGTTTTCTTCAAAATAGAGTGTTGGAGTTGTCACAGTTACTGATGGTAAAGAGTTAAAGTAGTAGAATAAAAATATTCTGGATACATGAGAATGTCTTGATGCCCCAAGTAATAGAATACAGAGATTCATTAATGATTACATAAGTGATAAGAATAATACAACTAAAGAAAAGAAAATATATTTGACCTTTCATATTACATGGGTTAATAATCTTAGGACATGAAGACCTTCTAAAAATCAGCAAAATACTATTAAGAAATGGACAAAGGGCAGGAATAACTAATTCTCAAAAGAAATAAAACAAATTATAAGTATATGAAAAGTTTTTTAACTTTATCTGTAACCAAAGAAATACAAGTTTTTTAAAAAAAATTGATCCTCAGAAGTAGGTACAGGTATGTACTCAGTACTGTCCTCAGAGAAAGACTGAATCTGAATTACTTGAGAGTTTCAATCCAAGGAATTACCCTGACATGAATAAACTATGCTCTAGAATTATCTACTTCCCTTTATTCTAGTTCTTTGTCTACTCAAAAACCCACTGACTAATTCTGCTTTTCAGAGAGAATGGCCTGGATAGATAGGAGTTTCAAGTAGTCTTTTGACAGCAGTGAAATAGCCACAAGTATAAAATAATAAATGAGCAGTTTTGATCACTTGATCACTTCTATGTAAATTTGCTTTGTGCTGGTCATATCTCTTACAGGCAAGTTTCCTGACACAAAGTTGACAGCAGACCCTGCTCAGTGATGCCTGTACTAAGAATAGGAAGTACCACGGTAGAAAGTCCACATAAATATTCATCCAGCATCCCTGTCACTGTCAACATCCTCAAACTGAAACAGAACTGTAGGAAGAAATCACAGAAATTGGTGAGATGAGTTATCTCTATTATCTATTAAACTCTATTAGCTATAAAAACTGTTTTATAAGTTTGGACTGACAAAAGACAATGTGTTACATCACACAAGGACTAAAAACAGCGACACTTTCTATTCTCACAATAGAACAAATTCACTGAAGCAATTACTGATCCCTAGTGAAACTCTCCATAGACATCAGAGAAACACGTTATTGTGACCAAAGAAGAGAGGTTGTCAAATACAGAGACGGTAGGACAAAGAGTAAGAGAAATAAGCTACATGCCATGGTGATAAGAAGTAGTCCTTAAACGTGTTAGTTTCATAAAGGGTCCCCAAGCAACAAAGTACTAAGACTTGCCAGATGTTGGAAGGCCATGGCTTCTTAAAATACCTTCCAGCTGCTTGATACGCTTGTTCTTGAAGTCCAGAAGTTGATTCAACCTCTCCAGTTCCTCTATGCTATCTTTTTTTTCATTATCAGCTTTTATCATCAATGTGTCCAGTTCCTCCTGAAACAAAATAATGTCTGAATTTTCTATCTCATTGTACCATACCTAAAGAGCTTAGATAAAAGGTAGCACTTGCTGAGTAAAGAAAATTCTGCTATGGCTTTAGCAGGGCAGGTTCATGTACCAGAAAAGCTCAAATTCCTTCCTCACTGACCCCTCCAGGACCAGTTATGCTGCTAGTGTCATAGGACACTATTTTCATGGTACTAGCAAAATCTAACCCAGATGCTTCAATCCTGACAGTTTTATTAGCTGGCCCCTTTCATTGTTGTCTATTGACAAGCTGCAAGTCAACATGTGACTTCAGGGTATATGTGTGTTCTCCAGTTCTTCAAAGAACAGACTATTCTATGTTTATAGAGAACAGTATTATCACCTTGCGTCAGCCCTTGAAACCCAGGCCTTGCTTCATTCCTAATCTTGTAAGTAGTTGCTAAGTTCTCATTTATACATCCCCTTCCTATACCATCTTTTCTTGCACCTGATAACATTCGTTGATTTTGCGCTGCAGAAGGAGCATGTCTCTGGTCTTGTCTAGTTCCAATGTGGTCTCTGCATGTGATGCTTGCAATTCGCTTAACATCTGAGACAGCTTTTGTTTTTCTTGATTTCTTGGTTCACAGGGCTATAATGGAAAAGAATTGGTAGAAGAGAATATAAATATGATAGGAAGAGTAATAACTGTTCCCCAGCAGTGGAAGGTAAAATGCCAGCAGCAGAATTTACACCAAAATGTGAAAGAGGGTTTGTATTATTACCCCATAAGGACTAGGACTCTCTTCCCCAGAAGTGTTCAGTAGCAGCACTAAAGGAAGGTTATAGAGGCTATGATGGGCTATCAACAGATCATTTCAAGTCATCATCTGCAAAAGATTCTAAATAACATAAGCTGCGAAGGGGTGGGGGATATGTAAAGAGTTCATGAAATGATCTCTATTCTCAGCCTTCTGAGAGCCTTCCAAAGATCGTTCTAAATATTACCACAGTATTATCTGGTTATGTCCTAATCCCTTAATCAAGGAATATTTGTTAGAGATCTCCCTATAGTGTGGACTTGTTTGTAAAGAGGCTTTTACCTCTGTAGGAGTTATCTCTTGCAGTAGAGGAGGGTAAATGATTGGTTCTGATTGTTCTGCAGGAGACTGGGTAACTGTGGTTGTGGTTTTCTTTTGGAGGACCTCCATTTCCTGTTGATGCTTCAGAATTAATTTGGTAACTTCAAGCTTCAGATCTTCATTTTGGGCTTGGGGGGAAAAAACACCACAACAACAAGCATTGAATCAACTGTGGATTAAATTTTCCCATTAATGATTAATTCATGGAATAAATTTGCCCTTAGATAAGCAGTCTCTCTCTCTGCCAGTGGTACAGAAATTATGTTAATCATAAAACAAATTTCAGGTCTTTTGTGCAAAGCTTATTCTGAGTCATATTCAACTTGACAACACTTAACTACTGCTAAATGAGACTAGTGCTGTTATATTTGGAGGAACATTCTTCCACTTTGCACATCACTCTTTGTCAATGTGTTGTATGAGGTAACCCGGGTTTGCTATGATGCTGAACCTTGTGCCATGGGGATATCAAATACCAGAATGGTTTCCCATTGTGGACAATGTTTGGTGGAGCTCCCAGTTGTAAAACAGGTTGGGAAGCAGGAGTGGTATCTACTTCCTAAACCACATGCCTCTGGAAACTCTATGAACTTGGAGAAACACCAATAACTATGGAAAGGCATTAGATCTTTTGTTTATAGAGTCACTATGAGTCGACCCCAACTTGATGGCAATCAAAAACAACAACAGTGTTGTGAAGTTCTAGGTCCTGCCAATTAGCAAGCAACTTTCTCTTATCTCTACCACTATGAGTTCTAGCTTCTTGGCATAGTAAAACAAGTTGATTTTTGCAATACAAAAAAGCATCTCCGGTACTACAGAGTGAAAGAGAAAAACAGCGGAACCACTTGGCTGTCTCTTTCAACAGCATCATCCCAGCATTTAACCAACTCTGTCCGTATATCCTCTAACTTCCAGGCCAATGCATCTCTGTAATGCTCACTTCCAAACTCCTCTCACCTACAAAGAGTTTGAGCATTTCTCTGTACACGCATGTGTTTCAGAGAAGAGAGAGAATCTGCTTTCTGTTGGTTTGGTTTTTGTTGGGTTTGCTGTTTGTTTGTTTTTTTTTAAGTTTCAGATGTTTATTATTCAGTCCAAATCCAACAGGATATACAAACATGATTTTGTGCATTTCAGGAAGAAATGTGAGAAAGGGTACAGATGGCTTCTGGGAGAACTTCATTCTAAGTAGCTAAAAAATATGGAACACTTCATGAATTTGTGTTTCATCCTTGCAGAGAGGATATGCTAATCTTCTCCGTACCATTCCAATTTTAACATAAGTGCTGTCGAAGACAGCATGAAAGATGATCTGTTTTCAGTGTGTGTGGAGGAGAGGTTAAGTTAGATTATGACTCAGGTCCTTAGACAAGACTTCACTTGTATTTCACACCGACCAAGGTCCTTAGTGTGTACTTCTAAGTTTTATTCTCTTATTGCTAAAGTTCTTGCCTCTACTTTAGTTTCATATTCCTTTTCCCTAGCTTTCCTAGTTGATACATTAGAATATGATGCAATAAATTTGAGAGTAAATATAAAAATTCAAGTGGGAAAAAGAAATCAAATGAAGATTGTTTCGACAGAATTTTAAAATCTCTAGAATAGCTGTCTCCTATAATTAAAGGTACTCTCCACTTGTGTGATTTACCTCTGAAAACCCACTAGAGGGTCAGTTATGGGTCGTCTCTGACTTGACAGTACATAAAAACAACAACATGATTAAAGAGTTAACTGTGTCTGTTGGAGATGGGGTATGCAGAGGAGTTGCTAGTGGTAGACAAGGGTAATAATTTGCTTGTTGTTTTCAAGTATCTAATGCTCAAAAAAGATGATACCTACTTATCACTAAATTGATTGAGAAGAATGATAAAAGTCAGAGAAGTTAATTTTTAATACTTTCAATAAATAGTGGAAATATTTAAAAACAGAATGAAAAGTTGGCACCCTTTCAAATAGAAATTACATAACATCTTAGATAGCTGTCATGTTTTTCTGGTTGAAAATATGTTATCTGATTTCCAGTGCTTTTGTCATTTATGACAAACATAAGACTAGGACCAGCATAGGGACTAGGGAAATGATGATCCACGTTGCCCTCTGATAAGGCAAATGTATAAAATGCCACATTTGAGAGAACTCTTTGAAGCCCAACCTACCTTTTTCTCTGTTCAGCTGAAGTAAAATTTCTTTCTTCTCCTTCAGCTCAGTATTCAGCTGATCTTGCAGCTGAGAGACTTTTTCCTGGAGCTGTTCTCCTAGTTCACTGCCCCAGTGAGGCATAGTACTGCTGTCCAACATGCTGAGAATGGCGAGTGCACAAGAGGGGAGGAAAGAATTGTCAGATGGACACTCGAAGATGTAGGATATGGTGTCTTTATTATACAGTTGTAGCATGTCCTGAGCCTAGTTCATTGTTCATTCCCCTACATGTTTTTTCTGCCCTTGTTTTATCTGTAACTGTCATTTACCAACTGCCTTGGAATTTTGGGCCTTATTAAGAAGTTGCTCAACATTATGTCTGTTTGGATCTCAAATATTCCACTGAGCAAAAACTTCAAGTTTTATCAATTTCCCAAGGGACTTGTCCAGCATGTTGGGTTTCTTTAGCCAAGAAACTGTGTAACAAGACTTTCTCAGGCCTACAAGATCAGAAATAAGATACAAATCATTCCTCTATTGCCTTAACCAATGACTAGAGATATTCCACTTTGATTAGATTATAAAGCATTATGACAGTGAGCAGGAACTAGACTTTCAATGATGATAGCTAAAGTCCCTCTGTGCCACAATTAGGGCTCAAAGATGGTTTGAAGCCATCCAAAATTACCGAGAAAGAAAAGATTTTTCCATTAAGATCACAGTCAAGCAACTCTATGGAGCAATTCTAATCTGTAACACATGAAGTTATCATGAGTTGGAATTTATTCAATGGCTCCCAACAGTGATAATAACCCTGTATCCCATAGTATATAGCTGTCAGGACAGAACTATTTTAAGTATAATGATTAAATTTTTATACATATAAATTAAGAGCCATTGATAGGCAATTATTTATTTCTGTTTATTATATCTTTATTCTTATTTACCATTATAATAAATGTAGTAAAAAAGGTGGAAGGTCAGCAAAGGACAGGAAGACCCTTGACCAGGTGGATGGACACAGTGACTACTGAAATGGGCTCCAGTGTGTCAGGAAGTGTGAAGATGGCACAGGTTGGATGGGGTTCAGATCCACTGTTCCTAGGGTTGCTTTGAGTTGTACTTGACTCAGTGGCACCTAACCACCACCACAACAACAACAAAGAACAACTTGTGTAGGCTAGTATTAAAATTGCTTGACTCTTCCTGACCATAAATCACATGATGACATTAGAAGACAATATTCTGAGTGATAGAAAAAGACAATAGCCATGTTTGTCACAGATTCCTCAAAGTAAACAACTCCACATTGCTTGGTTTCATTAAATTTGAGAGCATCATTTGTTCACATGATACTCTCATAAGACTTCCCCAATCCACACCCTACTTTCTTAAGCTGTATCTAAAGCACTTTTCACTTTTTAAAATTTCTGGTGTTTTTAATTACAAAAGATATATTAGTATATGCTTTCTATTTAAAACACACACACACACACACACACCCCAAAATCAAGTAATCGAACAACTAAACCAAATTTGCTATCATCACTCAGGTCTGTCTCAGAGTGACTCTCCACCAGGGCTCTTTACATATAACTTTGACTCATTTTCACAGTGGCAGAGATTTTCATTGTAGGGATGCAATTTAATTTTATAATTTACAAGACGAGACCTCCCATCTTTCTCCCGTGGAGTCACTGATGGCCTTAAATGGCTGAACTTTCAGCCCAATACATCTAGAACTAGAGAAAATAAAAGTGAAGGTGCCCTTTTGTCCTACTCTAAACCTATTATCTTTGGAATTATTATTAGTTTATGGACCAATACATGCACATAACATAAATTAGATCAGTATTAGCATATTAACTTGCTCGTTTCTTTTAACAACACCTATATTTTTTAACAATCCAAATCCACTCTCCAAGAATCCGTTCTGACACTCATGGCAATCCTTCATCGTATTTACAAGGCTCTCTAGCTCTATTGGAGGAAATTGTCCATTTTGGAGCAGTTGGTGGGGATAAACCACAGACCTTCCAGTTAGTAAATCAACAAATAATATACTACACCATCAGGGCTCCTTACATATAACTTAGACATGTAGCTTTACCTTTCCATGTCTCTTAACTGTCATATAGAAAATTTTCTATATGTAACATAATTTCATCACTTCCCTATTAATGTAAACTTAGGTCGTCACCATTTTTTCCCTACAAATAATAGAGCAATTAACATTCTCATATAATTTTACACTGACATAGAAGAACTTCTTCAGTATTTATTTTTTAAAATGGAAGTGCTAGGAAAAAGGCATGCACAATTAAGATTTTGATTGATTGGGTCAAAATCTCATTCTCTCCATTTACACTTTCACTAATAACATTGAATATCATTTTCTCCATACCCTTATCAATACTTATTTTTTTAATTTGGAGGGCATTTTTCTATAAGTTTGCAATTACAATGTTCTAAGACCTAAGCATAGTACTCACTTTTCTAAGAGTTTGTCGTAATTATCATTCAGCAACTTTCGTTCTTTTTCCAAATCTTCAACTCTTTCTTGAAACTAAGAATGAGAGCAAAATGCTTGAAATAACACTGTGAAGTCTTTCACCCTGCACAGGTTTTCTTTTCTGAACAGGAGCTTTTCTAGGTACATATCCCATCTTTATCATGAAGAAAGGGAGGAGACTAGAACCAACTGAAAATGAGGTAGAAACATATAGTGGAAATCATGAAGATTCCCTGAAACAGATTTTCATGGTCTGGGTTTCTTCTGTTATGGAAAAATAAGTACTTTTTGAAAGAATAAAGGCTTTGGAGGACAGACATAACTATGAAACTGAGCTTTCCCTCTAACGGTGTAATCCTGAGAAAAATTATTTAACCACTTGGAGCCTCATTTTTCTCATCTGTAAAAAATTAAATCTATTTCATTGTCACTAAGATACAAATATTAACACCTTTGAAGTTGGAATGTAATTTACAAGGAATAGTATCTTTTCATTATTATGGCAGTTTACCTCCTTCAGAGTCACCTGCAAGATGGCTACATCTTCCAGCTGGGTCTTCAAGCTCACAGCCTTTTTGCTCTCCTCCTTCAGCTCTTCTCTGAGTTCATTCACTTGGCCAAGGAGGGCATCATGAGCTACACTCAGGACTCCCTGATTCTGGGACAACAGGAAAGGTACTGTGTGAATGGTCATGTTACTCAGGGAAGGGTGACCTCATGATACTAGTAACCCTAGCATTCTTTACTTCATGTCACCAAGAATTACTTTAATATCCCATTGACTTTGCACTATAAATTAACCTTACTTTTTAACTTAATATTCCTCTGGAAGAATACTTTTCTGGCTTAGTGAAGATTTCTGCTTTGAGCAATTGTAAATTGTCACTATGCTGCAGTGTTTAGGATGGCTTTCCTAGTCATTGACTTTTACTTTCCTACCATATGGCTAGGTTGTTTTTTGTTGTTGTTCTTAAATTATGCTAATAACGTGAATGAGGTAAATAGCACCTTTTGTGTAGAACATGCAAATAAGGTGTGAAGATTACTAATGAGATTAGTCAACTTTGCCATTTCATAAGCTTTAAATTGAGCAGGTTCAGAGTCAGAAAATGACAGTATTGCTACCCTAAAGAAAGCAGCAGCAGAAAACACAGCACAGCTATTTTTTGAGACAGGGATTATTGCACAAAACAGACCAGAACCAAGATCAGCACAGCAGCAGCAGCAACAACAGTGATGGCAGAGAAACAGAGACCAAGGTGAGACAGCTGAACTGGAACTACTCCTCCAGAGAGCCAAAGCTGAGAGTCTTAACACAGGCTTACTAGAAGGGTAAGGGGAGACATCACATTAGGCAGGACTAAAAGCTGTGTAACAATGACCCAGAACCATACCAGGCTTAAGGTGAGAGGGCCTGCAAACCCAGCTGAAAAGCTGTGCTGACTGAAGAATTGTATCCTGTTTTCAACATTAATTGTAACCTGTTACTCACCTAATAACCCCCAAACTTTATTGTCTGAGTTGTGTGTGACCTTTGCAACAGATTAGCAGACTCAATAGTAGAGCAGTGAGAACCTTGGGAGGGATAGGTGATAGATAGGGATACTTGATAGAAGTAGATGTAGGGAGAGTGCATGCCTACCTCATAGGAATAAATTTTGTGCTGTTGATGCTGTTGACAAGGACTGTTCCTTCTTGTGGAGTTACTGGATATCAGATAATATTGCCCCAATGCCAGTTGTACTGTTTTAACAGCTTCACTGAAGACTAATTTCTTAAGGTTCAGATTAAGTCCTAGCTATAAGCAGGTGCCACCTTGAAAAGCTGCCTTAACCTTCTAAGCTAGCTAATGATTTTTATAGTAATATATTCCTTCCTTTGCACCCCTGGAAAATGACGTGTAGGATCAGATGACTTGAGAAAGTAAGTGACTGTGTTTCTGGTGGACTGTCTGTATTGTTTCTCAGGAAGCCCTGGTGGTATGGTGTATGACATACTGGGTTACTTACAAAAAGATTGACAGCTGAATCCACTAGCTGCTCCACGGGAGAAAGATGGGGAGTATCCTCCCAAAAGTATTTACAGCCTTGGAATCCTTATGGAGGGTCAGTATGAGCTGGGACTGACTCGAACAGTAATGGGTTTAGTTTTTGGTAGGTATTGTTTTTTTGGTGATGAACAGCTATGGTTGGTTATGCTGGAAACTGTCATTACTTTATTATAGTTTTGCTGTTGTTGTCAATGGTTTGATTCATGACATAACCTTTTATTTAACAGAACAAAATGGTGGCCCAGCCTGCACCATTCGGATAATTGTTGATATATTTGAGCTCATTGTTGCAGCTATTGTGTTGATCCATCAAACTGGGAGTTTCCCTCATTATCATTGATTATTTGCCATTTCTACCCATCTGGCAGTCTACTGTGGTGGCTTGCTTATTGCTGTGGTGCTAGAAGTAGTCCATCCATATTTCTAATACCAGCAGGGTCACCCATGGTTTCAGCAAAGCTTCCAAAATAAAACGAACTTGAAACAAAAGGGCCTGGCAATCAGCTTTTGCATTTTCTTAAACTATTCACCCTATTTTTTATTATAAGATTTATTTTTACATTAATTTTTACTGCCCTATTCCTCACTTTCCATTTCTGTTAACCCTCCAAAACCGATTATATTTATGTGTAAACATTTCCTTGTTGTTATGTGCCATCGAGTCGTTTGCGACTCATAGCGACCCTAAACAGCCCTAAACCCTGCTCTATCCTGCGCCAACCGCACTGCTTCTGACACACCCATCCCAATTACCCCAGTCACTGAATCGATCCATCTCATAGAGGGTCTTCCCCTCCTGCGCAATCCCTCCACCCTCCCAAGCATGATGTCCCTCTCCAAGGATCCATCCCTCCTGGCAACATGTCCAAAGTATGTCAGGTGAAGCCCCAGAATCCGTGCCTCCAAGGAGTTGCTTGGTTTAATCCTCTCCAGGATGAATCTGTTTGTTTTCCTGGCAGTCCATGGCACATTCAATACTCTTCTCCAGCACCACAGCTCAAAGGCATCAACCCTCCTTCTGTCCTCCCTAGTCATTGTCCAGCTCTCTGATGCATAACAAGCGATTGCAAAAACCACGGCCTGTATCAGACGCACCTTAGTCTCCAGAGAGACACCGTTGCTCTTGAGTACTTTAGAGAGGTCCCTAACCGCAGACTTTCCCATCGCGATACGCTTTTTGATTTCCTGCCAAGAGTGTTGACTGTGGAGCCAAGCAAACTGAAGCTGTGAACAATCTCAATCTCTTCGCCATCCATCCTGACGCTGCCAATTGGTCCAGTGGTGAGAATCTTTGTCTTCTTGACATTGAGCCTCAGTCCATATTGAAGGCTGTAGTCCTTGACCCTTAGCAGCAAGTGCATGAGGTCCTCCTCAGTTTCAGCAAGCAGGGTTGTGTCATCTGCATAACGCAGATTGTTAATAGATCTTCCACCAATCCTGATGCAACAATTCTCCTCATAGAGCCCAGCCTCCTGGATAATCTGCTCTGCATACATGTTGAAAAGGTATGGAGACAGAATGCATCCCTGATGTACACCCTTCCCAATTTTGAACCATGCAGTGTTACCCTGCTCTGTTCTGACTACTGCCTCTTGGTCCAAGTATAGGTTTCGCATTAGCACAATTAAATATTCTGGGATTCCCATTCTTCTCAGAGTCAGCCACCGTTTGTTATGATCCACACAGTCAAACGCCTTTGCATAATCAATGAAACACAGATAGACATTCTTCTGGTATTCCTTGCTTTCAGCCAAGATCCATCTAACATCAGTAACAATATCCCTAGTACCACGACCCCTTCTAAACCCAGCCTGGACTTCTGGCAATTCTCTGCTGATGTGCTGTTCTAGTCGTTTTTGGATAATCTTCAGTAGAATCTTGCTTGCATGTGAAATCAATGATATTGTTCTGTAGTTTCCACACTCAGTTGGATCACCCTTCTTTGGAATGGGAACAAATATAGATCTCTTCCAGTCAGTTGGCCAAGTGGTTGTTCTCCAGATTTCTTGGCACAACTTGGTGAGCACATTCAGGGCAACATCTGTTATCTGAAATACTTCAATTGGTATACCATCTATTCCTGGGGCCTTATTTTTTGCTATTTCCTTCAAAGCAGCTTGAACTTCTTCCTTCATCACCTTAGCTTTTTGTAATAGTGATCATATACTATAACTTTTTTTCATAATTGTCTTTTTTGACTGAATTATGTGACTTAGCACAATTTGTTCCAACATCCACATTGTGTAATATTTCACAAATTTTAAAATTCTTTTTAGTGATATATAAATACTCCACTGTGTGGCTAGACCGTAGTTTTTAAAACTATTCATGTGTCAGCTGATGCTAGTGCTGTTTCCAACTCTTTGTTATTGCAAATAATGCTGCAATAAAAATGGGGGTGTGCGTCAGTTTGTTTAAAAGCCCTTATTTGTTTGGGTTAAATAGCAAATAGTGATTTTGTTGGATCAAATGGTATTTCTATTCCTAACTTTCTAAGGAAGTAACAAACTGCTTTCCAGACTGGTGGCCCTATTTTAAATTCCAGTTAGCAGGCTATGAGAGTTCTAATCTCTCCATACCTTCACCAACATTTCATTTGTTGTTTAATGTGAGAGGAAACCTCAATGTAGTTTTGGTTTGCATCTCTCTAATAGTTAATGATCTTTTTTTATTGTCAAAAGTAGCGATTTTATTTAAGAAAAGCTAATTGTGGATTAAACTAATAGTTAATGATGTTGAGGATTTCTTCCTGTGTTTGTTGGCTGTCTACATTTATTCCTTACATGTCTACTACTTCTGAAATTAGCCTGAAATGAAAACCCTATAGACCACAACAGAACTGTCGTAGCAGCCCTTACTCATGCACAACCAATCATCCACATATTGCACTCCAGCTATAGAGTTGACTAATATCAACTATTTACTAACATCAGAGAAGATCTGTAGCAACTTTCTACTATCTCACACATGCTAGAAGAATACTCTTTGAAATATTTGAGCAATGCTACAACCTTTCAAAGCGAAGGATTGAAAAATACTTTTCTTGAATTCCTCAACTCACATATCATATTTAATTTTTATTAAAACAGTGTGAAAAATATTTTTATAATCGTAGCATCATTTGTCTTAATCTAAATTATAAGACACTGCTTTTTAAAAAAAATAACTTTTATTTTGTTGGTTAAATTCTCATTTGGAAGCAGGATTGTCATTCATTTCCTAAACAACATGCCTCCAGAAACTCTATGAACTTTGATAAATGCCGATAATTATAGAGGGTCTTCAGGACTTTTGTTCATAAGATCACTATGAGTCATACTCACTTTGAAGTAAATCAACAACAACAACAATAAATTCTCATGTAACATGGAGAAGACTACAAATTCATGTGGGTTTGATTATTCTAATTGCTGATAGGATTCAGAGAATCTTTATTAAATACCTTCTGAAGTAGGGTTTCATATGCCTGGAAGAGAGAAAAAGAACAATGTTATTAATTAATTTGATGGTTATATTTTATGTTTCTATATAATACAAATGGTAAAATATTTTTTTAAAACTATTATAAATTATTTCCATAAATAAAACCAATCTGTGTACTGTTTACTAGTCACCCTTCCTAGTTGGTCAGAGAAGCTGTGAATATAATAAATTACATAATTTATCTTAAAAAGAATTAAAGGTCAATTATCTACATTGCCTTTTGTGGTTACACCAAAAAATTCTTTAATCTCAAAGTAGGTTCTGTTTGTTACTCAGCATGTTCCAGAAAGGACTGTAAGTAACAATTATAATCTAGAACAATAACTACTAATTTCTTAGCAGTTACCGTGTGACATATCATATTACTTTATGATCATTATACATTATTTTACAAGCTTTGGTAACATAGTCACCCGGGGGTTGCACTGGCAACTCAGAATTGCACTGGCAACTCAGAATTGCACTGGCAATTTGAATTCACCAGCACCTCCAAGGGAGAAAGATAGACAAAGGCCTCCTGTGTGATTTAAAGCTTCAGAAACCCAATGAAAGGTGAGGTATGTATTGGTTCTGATTTGATGTAAATGAGTTTGAGTTTTGAGTTTATGATGATTATTTAATTGCTTCGTTACTTCATTTAATCTTTACAGCAAATCTGAGAAGTATATCTTATTATCTACACTTTGAGAGAAGCTCAAAGAATTAAGTCACTTGGTGAGAATGGCTACCGAGAAACAGAGGCAGAACAGTAATTCAATCTGTATAATTTCAGAATCTGTTCTATTGACCACCATATTTTACTGCTTAGGATTAAGGGAATATAAACTTACTTTAGTGCATGCGTAAGAAAGTATAACTACAAAAGTAAATTGCTAAAGAAACAAATTCTTTTTCAAAAAATCAAGCGAGTAACCACCATCTGAGATCATCTCTACTACTATTTCCTGCCACTGACACAGGCAAAGAAACTCCATTTATAATTACTTTCTTACTTTTTTCTATAATACAAAAGATAAATAGATTTTTTAAATCTATAATTCCACAAAAATAGCCATTTATTAATACAACTTTAGGTTACTCTGGTGACTTAGTGGGGAATTAAGAAATTACATTACCAACCCAAAGGTATGTGGTTCAAATCCACCAGCTTCTCCATGGAATATGAACAATCTCCTACCTTGTGATTTATTGCCTCTTAAAACCCACAACAAGGTCAGCTATGATTTGGTTCTGACTCAACAGTCTCTAACAACAATATGACTTTATTACCTTTCCTCCATGGTTCTTTAAATGTTTTCAAGACTAAGCTGATTAAAAGAATACAAGGGTATGCACAGTTCTCTAATTACCAGGCTTGGTAATTGGCTTTGTAAAGATACACTTTATCAGAACAGACATGTGGACAGCAAGGTTAAATATAGGCAGATCTAGAATCAGTGAATTGCAGCACTCTGAGCTCTGGAGGCCTAGTGATATAAGAAGCTGCCCTGAAATCCTGAAGGTATACAGTTCAAATCCCTCACCTGCTCTGTGGGGGAAGGATGGGCTGTTTCTTCCCATGGGATATACTGCCTCTGAAAACCCGCTGGAGGGTCAACAACCTCTAATTACCTAACCTAGAGACCGAAACCATCTTTCACTTCTTGTTCTTCCTTACCCCACACTCTTTTGGTGACAAAGTCTGTGTTTCTACTTCCTGAACAGCTACTCAGAAGAAAGAGGAGCAATCTCCTCCCCTGCAATTTACTGCGTCAGAAATCGTAGAGAGTCAGCTTTGAGGACGTGATGCTGGGAAAGGTGAAGGGTCGCTGAAGGAGAGGAAGACCCTCAACCGGGTGGACTGATGAGGTGACTACTGCAAAATAGGCTCTTGTGTGTCAGGAAGTGTGAGTATGGCGCAGGACAGAACAGCGTTGAGGTCTTTCCTTCATCGGGTCGCTGTTCTGCACCATCGAGTCGGAACCGACCCATAGCTGATCCTCCAGCTTCTCCCGTGCAACAGCTGGTGGCCTAGAACCACATGCTTTAGGATTACAGTGCAGCCTCTCTGAATTATGATTTCGATGTGTAAAATGAAACTAACCCCTTAACTAATGGGTTTCCCAACTCCTAACTCCAAGAAAGCAATTGATAATGGCAACTCACCTCCTGAACTTCTGTTAATTGTGTTTTTGTCACTACCAAAGAGGCATTCCTCTCCTGTAAAAGCTTCTTCAGTTGAATTAGCTCTACATTCTCTTTAATGGAAGCTCTGCAGAAAGAAGTTGCTACAGTATTTTGTCTGTGAAAGTATAAAGTTAAGCAGTCTTCCTCCCCATTCTGCACTAATAAGGACATGCCCTCTTAGCCTCCTGTTTCCATAACACATCAGAAGGGAGGAGAGTGTATGCACACTCTGGTAAATAATCTCCTTTCTCTCATTTTAAGTCACACCAGTTGAGATTTGGTAAGGCACTAACCTCACACACTGTTCTGAGAAAACATAATAGCTATTTTTCCACTTACAGCACTCTCAGCTCCCACAAACCTTGCTTACTTCACCTAGGGCTGAGTCTTGTTTACTTAGAGAAACCAGGGAAGCAAAGGTAGGGATAGAAAACACAAAGGAGAATTATCATTTCTAAGCCTAGGAGATTAATGATCTCTTTTCATTTGGGAGGAGGGGAATTCCTTGGGCTCTATCTCAGTAAATCCTAGTCCTAGCTGCTCATTAGACCACCTGGAGAGAGAGAGCTTTAACAACAGCACCGGATCCATCCCCAAATAAATGAAAGGGAATTGCTGAGATGGGCCCAGGACTCTGTGATTCTAAAAATTGTGACTGATGCATATTAAGGGCTGAGAATCTCTCTTTGGTGGAGAATGAAATAGTTTTCCTTGTGTGAGATATATTAGGAAATACTCTATTATACATTAGAATTCCCATTAGATTAACCCAGTTCTTAACCCACTAGAGACTCTGGGTCAGTTAATCCCAAAAATTCTTTTCTGATAAAATAGAGTGAAATGTACATAAGAAACTCCCTTCTTCAGGTCACTGAGGTTGGTTGGTTTGGTTTTTAGTTCATTGAGGTTTGAGGCATGGAATGCCATGCTCTTACCTAATCTCTGTGGCCTTCTGAGCACAATCCAATGAGCTTCTCTGTTCAAAATCTTCATCTTTGGACCACATTTTCTCAGGAGACTTGGTTGGTTCTTCTACTTGCATAGGACTGGTGGCCATAATTTGTACACTGCTGGGTATGCACAGGGCAATGAGTTTACTTGTAATTATGGCTTCATAAAAGACAAGACATTGTCAGACACATTAAATTTAAGAAGAGGAACCTGTGATGGTATGGGGGTTTAGAATTGGGTTTTCACATATCTAAAAAAGAAGTCAGAGGAGTTAGTAATGTAGTATGTGTAAAGGAGAATCTAATCAAACAGAATTTGAAGAACTTTACAAAAGTAAAAATGAGTTATCATCCATGAAGTAAAAATGTAAAGAAAGTTAGGAGGAAATACCTTCAATTAAGGCAAGGGGCTTTGTTTTCCTTTCCTCTGAAGTCATACAGATATGCATTTTCCATTTTGTAGCAATACAGTTTATTTGATCTAGGTTTGACCTTAATTTTCTCTGACCACACCAGAAGAACACAAATGTAAACACTCACTTGTTTCCAATTAAAGCTGCTGGAATAACAGTGCATACAGGGTAAATGAAAATAACTTACAGTTTGCTGGGTTCACTGTTTTCAGTTCCTGTATTCTCTTCTGTTACATGCTTCTTGAACGTGGGAGGGGCTGTGTAGCTCAGCCTACCTCTTGATCCTGAAATTTAGGCAGGAATGGAGATTATAGCAATAAAATTCTCCAGAACACCATGTGCTGGGAGTCTTTAGTCTGGGGCTTCAAATGAATTCATTCCTGTCTAATATCCTGTTGAAAATTTGCATTTCCACCTAATCTACAATGACTTAGAATCTATAGTTTATCAAGATCCCCAGGTGATATACAGTTTAAGAATCCATAAACCTATGAGCATCACCTGAAGATCTTGTTAAACTGCAGATTCTGGTTCAGTGTATCAGGGTGATACTAGGCAGTTTTAATGACCTAGTCCAGAGGGAATTGTACTGATAACACAAAGGTGGAGCTTCTCTGGCTGTTTAAACCTATCAAGTGGATCTTGAGGAGAAAGATGGGCAGTTTCTTCCCATGGATTGAATGGCTTTTAAAATTCTTCTGGCAGATCAGCTATGAGTCTGTTTCTGCTTGATGGCAATACGTTTTGAGAGGATGAAGCTGTAAATTCTCAGCAGAGGGTCAACTGGAATGAATGTGTTCTAAGTATTGTTTAAGACATGGGGAAAAGCTTCTCCTAACAATTGATCCCAGAAGACAGTTCACAATCTGTACTTTCACATAAAAGGGCAAATATAGATTTAACAAATCAGAATTACAGACTCTCAAGTCAGTCAGTATAAATGAGAAGAAAACAAGAAAGGTACAAGATAAAGATTGTATCATGGCTTTAATGTATTTAAAAGGTGTTCAACAACACTGAACTGAAAAAGCAAAAGAAAAAAATCCTGAAGTGCTAAACTAAACTAGAATGATGATAATTGTTTTTTTACCATCAGCAGAGGATCTGGTAGATTGAAACAACATCCCGTTGGAGTGCAGCTTTTTACCACTAGGCCACAAGAACTGCATATAGACTCATATAATTGTTCTGCTTTTAGCTGTTTTTGCAAAGGCTTGGCTGCCTAGGCAAGAGGCTTGAAAATAAGTATAGAGCTATATTAACAAAATTGATGTTAAGAAATAAATGAAAATTAACAAAATAAAACTAGTAACAAAAGTTCTTGTAAATGAAGGTGTTGTTGTTGTTGTTGTTGTTATGTGCCGTCGAGTCGTTTGCAACTCATAGCGACCCTGTGCACAACAGCCCTAAACCCTCCTCTATCCTGTGCCAATCTCATTGTCTCCGGCACACCCATCACGATTACCCCAGCCACTGAATCAATCCACCTCATAGAGGGTCTTCCCCTCCTGCACTGTCCCTCCACTTTGCCCAGCATGATGTCCCTCTCCAAAGACCTGTCTCTCCTTATAACATGTCCAAAGTATGTCAGGTGAAGCCCCAGAATCCTTGCCTCCAAGGAGCAGCCTGGTTTAACCCTCTCTAGGATG